ATGGCTTGACCGTACTTTGTTCTGTTATAAAGCATTCAAGGAAGCGATGAGAGCACTGTCCTATCGGCCCATCGACTCATACTTCTCCCTACACTTCTTTCGTGCTTTCGCCTCCAAAATACAGCATCAATATTGTGCATAGGGGAAGGGAAAACAAAAGTCATCAGGAATTACATGTACTCTCTTTTTGTGACAAAGGGAGACACTATATTCATAACTTACCTCTCGGTTTTCTAACTTCAACATCACTTATTGTCTCGATATCAAACACTCCTGCACTTGTAGCCACGCAAATGTAGTTTCCAGCATCCTCTCTTGTCACATCTCTCAAGACAAGGGCATTGTTTATCCTGTGACTCCTCCCCACGGGCAGTACTGCTCCTTGTCTTTTCCAACTGATGACTGGTCGTGGATCACCGATGGCGCTACAGTTCAAGGTTAAAGTGGTTCCAGGACCAACAAAGACCTTTCCAGGCGGTTTAACGGTAAACTCAGGAAGTGAAATCACAACTAGTAGAGTTTTTCTTTCAACATTTCCTAAAATGTTGACCGCTGAACAGAAGTAGGCGTCAGAATCAACTTTACGGACATTTGAGATTTGTAAAGCAGTGTTGTTATACTGCGCCCTCCCCTGGGGTAACTGACCAGACGACTTCCTCCAGGTGACCACAGGAGTCGGGTATCCGGTCACGTGACAGGTGGGTAAGGTGACGATACTCCCTTCGATGACGTAAGAAGGTCCCGGATGTAAAGAAACACGAGGATGAACTGCAATCAAGAGTAAAACATTTAGTCTCATTTTTGGACTTAAACATCAGCTGATTTTTCTAATAAAGACAAATAAACCATTCACAGACCGAAGGGCTGACACTCTTCTGGTACTCTCCTGGCACTCTTCTGCTATTGCTGATCACGTTAAAACAACTGCTCACAACATCAAATGGGACTATTTTGACATTTTGGTGTCCATTAAGACTGACTACTATTGTAACGTTAAGGAGACCTTGTTTATTCAGGAGTTGCAGAATGCCAATGTGAGCAGTGAAAAGCATTTACTTTATTAGGAAAGCTTTTCCATTGTGTCACTTTACAGACAGTTTCCTTTTAAAACGTCTTAAATTTCTAAGCAGATGTTTTCTGTCTAGGTTCCACACCCCATTGATACAGTATAAATAGCTTTCCAAAAAATTTTGACGGTTATACTTTTGAAAATGTATGTTGACTAGCATACGAAACGTCAAGTTCATAAAATGCATGTTTTTAAAATGTTTATCACTGCTGTTTGTTTTATATTTCTAATCAAGAAAATAATTCATTTTGTAACATTATCATTACCAGAAGCTTACCAGTTACTGTTAATCGCACCACTTCCCGCGAATTCCCCAGGATGTTTGTAGCTGAACACTGATACAATCCTCCATCACTTCCGGTCACGTGCATTAAATGCAACTTTCCTCCTGAAACCGCTGATTGAATGATTTCTGACTGATTGGCCAGTTTACTCCACGCTACTGCAGGCTCAGGATTACCGTTGGCCGAACACTGAAACAAGGCTGATCCACCTTCGTTCACTGTCAACGTCACAGGAGAAACAACAACAGTAGGAGGTGATATGGATTCGCCGGGCTCGCCTTTAGTTCCCGGCATGCCTGCGGGTCCTGTGTCTCCTTTCTCGCCTTTGGTTCCAGGCTCTCCCTTTAACCCCGCAGGTCCCATAATACCTTGTTTGCCGCTCTTTCCTGGCGATCCCGTAATGCCTCGATCTCCCTTGTTTCCAGTCCTTCCTTTCTGTCCTCTTCGTCCCCGGGCTCCTGTTGTCCCAGGAGGACCGGGAGGGCCTGGGGGACCTGATGAACACGTGACACTTTTTGATTGACAGAGCTGCGCTCTCCATTCTGATAAAAGACGCTTACTGATTTTGATGGTGGTGTACAAATTTCGTGAAGAGTGAGTTTGTTCGCACAAAGCGCCAATCCTTAAGTCTAAACCCACTCACCAGGAGAACAAAGTTCAAATCCGTCCTGGCACATTCTAAAATTAGATGCTTTGAAATTTGAACATGCTGAACGTTTAAGAAGTCATCAGTTCGTTTCCAGGGTTATGACTTCCGAAACACACTGGTAACACAGTCCACTTTATTTTCTTGATCGCATTATTGTAACTTACTAGTCGCGAGTGATAAAAGGCGAGAGGCCTGGGTTGCTTACACAAGCACTGATTTTTGGTACATTACCTTATCGCGCATGTTTCAGATACGCTTATTTTAACCAGACTCGCGCGTCATGCAGAACGTTCAGCCCTGCCTACAAGGTCGGGGGCGTGCGCGAGCGCGGGAAAAATGAAGTCATACTCGACGGACTGCCAAAAGAGGGAGGGTTGTCTAATACACACAAACGGATTCCCCGACGTAAAGCCTACAAAACACAAACGTGTGTTAGCGCGCGCTTCAAGTACGAAGATTATACATTGTATTTACTTGTATTTAGCGTGTTTGGGCTCCCACGCTTTAAGAACGAAGAATATACATATTGTCTTTATTTAGCGCTTTTGGGCTCGCACGCTTTATGCAGTTTACACATGGCATACCGATCGGCTGTCTACTTTTCCATGGGTACCAATGGTACCAATCGACAAGTAGTTTACGCGCGGCCCTCGGTTGTTAATATATGCAGTTTACAAATGGTATACTAATCGACTAGCTACTTTTCCATTGGAATCGATTTGTACCAATGGTACCAATTGCACCAATCGACAAATCTCTTACGCACGGCTCTCAAATGTTAATGAGATGCAGTTTACAAATGGTATATATATACCAATCGACTGAGGAGCTTTCCATCCCTACCAATTTGTACCAATGTTAAGGCTACTTAAGGTCATTCTTCACATTTGCATCGCGCATTCTTACTGCGCATAATTTATGGCGTCATCAGCGCGCACTCGCGCACGCGCATATTGAAAACATGATGGATTTGCCTTGATATTGAGCTCTGTCAGTTGAAAAAATGGCTATAGCTCACCAACGAGCAGGGGCACCCCAATTTTTTTCCAGTCTTTGTAATCAACTAATCATAAGCTTTGCGTGAGAAAAGACTGATCTGATTTCTATTGCTGAAAATTGAATA